AGCCGGGTGGCAGCGGCAGGTTCAGCGGTGAGAGGGAGGGGGCGGGATTCAGCGTGTGTGAGCTATGATTGACACTCCATCAAACGCTCCTCTGGCTGTGATTGGTTGTTTTGTCTCGTCCCGAAATATTCTTTCCAGATTGCAATACAGGCAGTAGGCGGGACCAATTGAAGCAGTTTTTTTTCACAGGTTACATATCACATGTACTGCTATCTGGGCATAGGGACAGTTTTAGCCAATATGACAAAAAAGTGATTTTTAAAAACTTACAGACTTCAGCTTTAAAGTCTTCTTTACATCGGGTCAATTGTAAAATAAAATAAATAAAATTTCAGGGATTATTTTTCAGTTACACATCAAAATTGGGTTTAAATGACCATCTAAGGAATCCAGTGTCTTTAAATGGTTTTGACCAGAAATTTTTGACTTTTAAAGTTTGTTCACTTTTTTGTAAATTTTATTCAAGTTTATGTGCCTGTTCATTTTAAAATACATGCTCACTGGTGGTGTTGTTTTCCTGTCCCGACAGACAGACATATGCATGATTCAAACAAAGATGACACTTAGCCAATACTTTCTCTTAACATAAAGGAAAAGTTGGGAGAGAGGCATGTTTGTATTTGATTATTAAACAACAGGAAAACTGTTTCAGATGGCTTGGCCTTGTCTCTGGGCTCTTCAGGTAGGCGGGAGCCTTGTACTACCCCGAGGAAAAGACAGTGAGAGAACAGATTTAGCAGTAGATGTTTGACTAAGACAGAGATGGAGATCAAGGTCCCTAGATAAAGAAACGGCATAGAGACAGCATAGTGTAGAAAATCCTGTGACACTAGTGATACATTCATGGGTCTGGGACTACTTTGTGATTTACTTTTATTTTGGTCCTTTCTGTTTGCTTTCTTTCAATTTGCTCGTTTTTGACTTCGGTTAAGAGCTGTTTTAGCTATTGTTTTTTCTTTTGATGCCACCATTTGGATGAAACGGATTGTTTTTCTCTAGAAGTGTCAAGGTCCTTTGAAACACTATTGTTTCTGTTACAGCAGGTGTAGATAGATGTGGTTTGGTAGAGCAGGAGGAATGGAAGTGAATTCTGTCAAAGGAAATGTGACTGTGAGGTTGCAAAGACAGAGGTCAGGGGAATTACTGGTGGGTAAGAAGAGGGAGCAGAGGAAGATTAAAGCTTTTTACTGGCTGCCCGAGCTCAAACCAAGTCCCATCTTGGCGTCAAATCTCCTGTTGCCATGGTGATTTAATAGCGGGTTGGTGTCCCAAGGGACCCCGGCCTGAAAGCAAAGAGATTGCAAAGCTAAACACAAGAAAAAGGAGTTCAGTACAATACAGGTGCTCTAAACAACGTCACTGCAGTGAATGTATGATGCAGCAGCATTATAGAAATAACTACTGGTAAAAACTATTGATAATTATAATTTTTTTTATTCCTGTTGCAAAGCGTTTAGTTAAGAAACAATAAAAATTTTGTTAATGAATATTTTTGATGCAACCGATTGTCTGATACAGTTGTGTCTTCTTTGGGTGCAGTGAGTTTAACCACTGGTGTCATGCTGACCTTTTTGTTAGCTACAAAATTTGCAGAGATTACTTGCCGAGGAATAAAAGTTCTCTAAAATAATCTGTACAATCTTTGTGAAAATGAATTTGTCTGGTATAAAGTCATGGTTCCTAAAAAGACTGAACCTATTTAGTAAAAAACTATTTATAAACATGATGTATAAAAATGAGTCATCCAGTCCTAAGGAAAAAAAAACAAAAGAGCTAGTATTTAGATATTATATTTTATATTTATTATATTTATTTGTTATAACATGTTTCTTAAAATGACTATGTCTTCCAAAATTGAGCACATCTGGTTCTTAAGAAGAAGTGTGTTTTTGTTCTAAATCTTTAAGTAAGCAATAAGTTTGTATCATTTCACTTTAATTAATTATCTTTCTCAACAGTTCTTTGGTAAATCTCTGCTATTGTTGATGCATGGGTTTTCAATTATCTTTATTTTAACTGCTTTTTTTAAGATCATCCATTTTCTTCAGCTTGAGATGTGGTTAAATAATTATTAAGTCAGGGGAGATACCTAGATGACGTGCTGTAGAGGATCTTGATGATAGTATCGTACTACGTGGCAGAGAACTTACATTTTTCCTATCAATGCTGGAAGTACAAAGTTGCAGGTTCCCCCGAAAATTAAACTTGGTCTCAATTTAAAGAGATCATATTCAAAATTCAAGATCTTTGACCTCTACAAGTATCTTCATACCCTCCGACTTGTAAATAATGTTTCCACTCAGCTGCGCACTCCTCAAGAGCATGGTGCCAATCGAAATAAAACAGCAAAATCTAACCGATTTTGCTGTTTTCCAGCAAGATACTCCTTTCTTAAGAACTATGCTTTAAGATTCCACCAGCAAAAGGTGACAAAAAGATTGACGATGAGGCAGAGCACTTTAAAGAATCCAAAACACAGTGGGAACAAGCTAAAAACTTAAAAGCAACCCAAGCATTTCCGACTCTCACAGCAGTCCCTACAAATATGCCTTCTCTGTACCATGCCCTACTTTGTCAACCCATTTTCAGTTTGTGCATATAGCATTTAAAAGATGAAAGCGTATGTATAAGCAATTAGGAGTCCTGGATTTATACAGTGACCAAAGAAGCAGTCATGAGAAAGTTTTGTTTCCATTCTTAGGTCTTACTGTCCTTTCATCAATACCCCGTGGGCCTGTCTCAGTTTAAAAGATCAAAAGTTTCACCCAGACCAGCCCTGATTTAATCCCATGACATTTAAATTCATCAAACAGATCTGTTTAGTCTGTTATGTCATTTCAACTTAATTATAAAATATCACAACAATTAGTGTTTTGTTTCCTTCCCTCTTGTTTGTTTAAAGTATTAAAGTCAATTTTAACTCAATTATAGTTAATCAGACCCTGATGCGGTCAACCTTTTTACTAGCTACACTGTTATACTTTTTGTTTAAAACAACACATATAAGACTGTTTGTTGAGAAGTAGAAAACAATATCATTACCTAATGTTATTAATTTTTTTATAAAACATTTTTTGCCCACTGCCATCAGATTTCTGAACTGTTGAAAAAACTCTAAATAAAGCCACAGACTCTGCATCACACTGATAACACCAAACCAAAAAGAAATCAACTCAACTCAAAAAAAAAATTCTACTGCATTTTTGCACCATATATATTTGTCTCTGCACTGCTCTGAACTTATGCATCAATGCCCTTTGCACCATGTTTTTCTCCTACACTGTTTACATTTGATCATTGCTGTACTTTATGAAATGGAAATATTCATTTAACTTCTAAGCTGCTGCTCATTTACTGTCTGAACGCTTTACAAAACAAGAAAACAATAAAATAAGTTTTCTAAGTCAAAGATAACATTAAAGTGTGTTTTCAGCTAATACAATAGGTTACTATATTCTACTTGGCAGTCAAAACATTATAAGTTAGAATCAGATAAAATAAACTGACAATAAGTTGTTTTATACAAGAAAGAGGTAATAAAAATAGCAACTGGAACAATTTGCTTTAGTATCTTTAAGAGCTATACAGGAACCAGTTTCTACCACTATGGGGTTGGATCTGAAACAGTCTAAGTAAAAAAAAGAGCTTAATTTTGGGGGGGTTTTGTGCCCAAGGTGGGACAACATATTTTCTTAGAGGTTTGAATTGTACCTTGGTTGGTTACTTTCTGGCAGCTTGAGAACTCAAAGCACACCAAACCCCAAAACAACCCTTCAAAAAGCACTGGAGATATTTAAATAGGAATTTCCTCACTTCTCTGTGGCCGCACCTGTGAGGTTGGTCCATCAGTGGCTCTCTATCAGTGATATCAGATCGGCTAAGGGCCGGTAACACCATTTGTAAAGGGAACCTCTGTGTTTACAACTCTAAGTTTTCTCTCTCCAGGTCTTTTCCTGTGAAGAGATAACTCAGAACAAACTATAAATAACACTTCATTATGTACATGTATTAAATAACCATGAGACATGACAATAGATTTAGACAGAAATTGCTGTCTTACTCAGACCAGAGAAGTTGATGAGGGTTACAGATACCAGCCTGTTACCAGTGATTCAAACTAGTTGATGTCTCCCTCTAATCACAGATAAAGAAGCATTTTATACAACTCCAGTGTACCACATAATCACATCATATATGTCTGTAAACAAGTAAACATCAAGGGCTCCAGACATATCAAAATATTACTCTATGTTTTTGGATCAAATACACTGCTCTCATTCCATTCCCAAATCTTTGCCACTGTTTTATTGTCATTACAGTATCACAAGTACTGAGCAACAAAATGAACTCTTTGCATTTAACAACCCCAAAGCAGGCATTAGCATGAAGGGTCTTGCCTAAGGACCCACACGGGCGGCTAATTCCCCTCAGCTGGGATACGAACCCAGGCTTCCTGCTTGCAGAACGGGTGACTTACTTAAGCTACTGTAGCAAGCCGCCTTTATCCTGACAGAGGAACTGTCCTAATTATATAAGCTGCTTGGTAAACATTAGTTTTCACACCTAACATTCTGGAATTATTTGGGTTTAACAGACTCTCCCATCATCAATAAAATAATCCTAACAATAATTAGGGGGAAAACATGCCCAATTTATCAATGCTCCACTGTGCTTGATTGTCAACATATACTACTTTTGCTGATGCATGTCTATTGATTAGATGAGGCACGGTGCTTTGTACAGATGACAAAGGATGATTGACACCACTCATTATGTGTAGATCTGAAATTTTCAACCAAAGCATTTTGATTTTGTACAGCATCTCTTTGTTTGATTTGACTTTGTTTGAAAAACTAACAAAAAAACCTTTCACACTCCTTCCTCTCCTAATTATCATTTTGCAGGAGAATATCTCATGATACACTTGGTTTTTACAACATGTTATCTTGTTTTCATAGGAAACTAGCAGTCACTCATGTTATTGATTTCTGTCTTTACAGCTGTTTCATTCATGAGACACAGCGCATCAGCCTTTGGATTTGCTGTGAGTCCCAGCTCCTTTCTTTCTTCCCTAAATGCTGATCAATCAGTCATTACTGGGAACCCCGGTAAATTATTAATGAATCTCAGCACCAAGTGTCATTGGTCCCTTTGTTGCTAGGGCAAAAAAGGAGTAAAGACAGACTCCCCAGAAGCTAAGATAGAAAGTTAAAATGTATGTTTGAAAGAAATTCAGCAGTATTTTTTACTTGGAGTTTAATTATAAGAGGATATTGTGACTGTTGTTAGTAGAAAGTAAAGTGTAATAACAAGGAAATTGGCAAGGAATAAATTCCCCCCATGAGTTTTTGCTGTGAAACATAATTAGCACGACATGATTAGAACAGGGGCTGCACAGAATGGCAGTCTATAGCACTGTTGCCTTGCAGCAACAAGGTGCTAGGCTCGACTTTGAGCCTGGGGTCTTTCTGAATAGAGTTTGCATTTACTCCCAGTGCATGTGTGGGTGGTCTTCCTCCCACAGTTAAAAAACATAACTGTTAGAGTAAATGCGTTTCTAAATTATCCTCTGGTGGGATTCTGTGCGTATGGTTGTATGTCTCTATGTTGCCCTGAAACAGACTGTTGACTTGTCCAGGATGTACCCTGACTTTTGCCCATAGATGGTTGGATCATCAGCAAAAGATGAATGGATGCATGGATGGATGGATGGATGGATGGAAAATAAACAGTGTTAGCTGCTATTAAAAAACATCTCCACAGCCTCTTTAATTTGGACACATTGTGTGTAATTACAGTATTTACAAATTAGTACTATTTATGTTGGTCAGTTATTATCAAATATATCTGGTCATATCGGTTTTTGTCACATGCTTACTGTTTCTCTTTTCCTATGAATTTCTCTCATTGGCTGTAGTTTGACGCCACACTGGATGTCATGTCATCAGCCATCGTCATTTGGCGCTACAGCAATGCAGCAGCAGTGCACTCTGCACATAGAGAGTATATGTGAGTATAAACAAACCACAAACAAAAATAGTATACATTACAGAACCAAGGCTTACAACTGTGACAACACACACAAACAAAAACATGAAACAGGCAATTGATTTCTTATTAATAAACAGGAGATGACAGGACTGAATATGATAGGATGTTTATCCTTCAGCTCCGTGGACTTCATTAATTAAATGTTGCACAGTGGCTCGTCTAGAAATAAGCACCTCAGCTCAGAGATGACGCTGGTAATGAAATATGCTCTTTGATTACCAGTGAAAATTTACCCTTCAAATAAGACGTCTTTTCTTTGAGCAGTTGAGATGTAGAAAAATGTAAAGACAAACAATGTTTTTTTGGTGCTATGTTTCCAAATATTTAAAGATAATTGCAAATTAGGAGGATATAAAGCAAACTTTAGTGTTAGTGACATGAAATCAAAATAGGTGTTCCTTGAAAGAAATGACATCTTTTAATACTGAAAAGGTGGAACAGTTGTAATATTCTCAGCTAAAGTAAAAAAAATTTTACTTCTGTCTTAAATGCATCTCTCCATTAGCCATCTGTCTGTTGGGCAGTTAGACATTGTACTTTTAGACCAGCAGATAAGATGAGCTTGTGGCGCAAAAACAATCAGGCTATGTGAACGTTTTGCTAAATATTTTTTTGATTCTGCTTAGCCTCTTTCTCATGTAAAATTCTTTGTTATATGTTACAGCCTGTTTAATGGTGATTTAATAAAATGTACCTCTTTGAGGCTACCTCTAAACCCATTGTTCTTCTTCTTTTTGGGTTGTCTGCAGAGCATGTGTGATCCTGGGGGTTGTGTTTATTCTCTCCTCCTTGTGTATCCTGGGAAAAGCCATCCATGACCTGGCCACCAAGATGCCTCCAGAAGTGGTAAGGCTACAGACACATTGACCAGAGCATTTAAAACTCTTTCAAAAGAGTGTATTGTATCATTGAATTCGGACATAATCTAGCATTGCTTTGCTTTCCCTCCTCAATATAAACTGCTTTGTAATAAGTGTTACTCTAGTTATAGTTATAAAAAGCAAAAGATGCAAAATTCTTGGAACACCTTATCTCAATAAAATCTAAAAATAGTTAGCTGCATATACAGTTATTAGCAAAGTTGTAGTTGTACTATGCATTTATTAGCCCAAAAAAAAATATGGTATCGGGGGGATTATTAATAAGGAAAATACATCCTGCTGTTCAGTTGGTTCAATTCTGTAGTTTTACTTAATACACTCATACAATCTATTCAAACTGTCAGATTCAGATGTGGTTAAATGCAGACTCCTTAAATTTGAATTATAATAAATACTGTTAAATTTGGTTGAATATTTAATGTCAAGTGTTAAAAAGTTATCTAATCTAAGCTGTTGATTTTACATCATTATAAGAACTTTGACTCAAAGTTAAAGCAATGGCTCTATTAATAATGATAAAAAAATAAATAATTAGAATTTATTGATCTTACATTGGAGAAATTTACCTTTACATTTAACCCAACCCTTGGGGAGCAGTGGGCTGCCATGGTGAGGCGCCCGGGAAGCAGTGTTGGGGAATGGTAAGCAACTTAAGAAACAAAAGCAGCTAAAAGCAGGGAAAAAATGTCAGGCATACTCTTTTTAAGAGAAAAACAGAGAGAAGTTAGTTGTATTTGCAACTAATCATTAAATGCATTGTAGATAGAGAAAATATGAATGACCAAAAAGTGACAGAACAAATAACTATAAATGTACATCAATGTAATCTAAGACACCTTATAAATGCGCATACATAAACAATAAATGTAACACTTTCAAGTGAAATTTATACAGTACATCTCCAACAACAAATATACAACAGTGGATCGGAGGACCTGAAAGTTCAGCCAGATACAACAGTGCGGTTTAAAAAATGTATTCAGAATTTAACCTGGAAACTGGCAGGAAAGCACCAGCAGCAGAGTCAGGAAATTCTTAAGAAAAAGAGTAAGATTGGGCAGGAATTTAAAGATGATACTTTGTTTTGTAATAAGGGCACTAACCTTCTCAGGGTCTGTTGGAAATCAGGGAAACTTAATTTTTGTTCCTCAATCCTTCAGGCAGGTGATAACAGGGTGATTGTACTAAGAGCTTGACAGGAAGGGAGAGAGACCCCTTGGTAGAACAATGGAGTTTTATCCTGACACTCCAATGACAAAGCACAGAGGAGTTATTCTTCAGATCAACAAACCCAGGACAAATGCAGATAAAAGGGAAAAAGGAAACATGGTTGTAGCAGTGGAGGCAGAATCATTTGAAAGGATCCGGGAGGCTAGAATTGGTTGTCCGGGAACAAAAACAAAGTTGAACATAGGGAGGCAGATTTAGACCGACAAATCCAGAAAAGAAGGCAGAAAACGGTATTCAGGGGGTAGAAGCAAGGTGAAGTCCTGAGATCAGATGCTAGGAGATTATCCAATGAGGGCAAGGGAGAACAGGGAAATCCAGGAGGCAAAGCATGATCCAGATCAGACACCCAGGCAGAGCGGTAACAAAGGATATTTACTTCCGATAACCTGGCAGCTTTTGCCAGCCAGAGAGCAGAATGTAAAGTCAGAATTACAGTTAGGATGAATAAGGGCATGATTAGGATGCAGGCAGGGGAGGTGCAGGGGTAAACAATGACACAAACAACTGCAGCGCAGAGAGGAGCAGAGGCAAACAGGAATGGTGCAGGCAAATGGAGCTGAATCATTAGAAGTACAAATTGTTTTTTTTCTCTGCAAAGATGGCATTAAAGGTTAGCCACTGCAGTAAGATAAAGCTGCAAAAAGGTGACTGTTTTAAAACACAAAATAGGTTACAGACTGAAGGTGGCTAATAATCAATATACACTCACCAGCCACTTTATTAGGTACACCTGTCCAACTGCTCGTTAACACTTAATTTCTAAGCAGCCAATCACATGGCGGCAACTCAGTGCATTTAGGCATGTAGACGTGGTCAAGACAATCTCCTGGAGTTCAAACCGAGCATCAGTATGGGGAAGAAAGGTGATTTGAGTGACTTTGAACGTGGCATGATTGTTGGTGCCAGAAGGGCTGCTCTGAGTATTTCAGAAACTGCTGATCTACTGGGATTTTCACGCACAACCATCTCTAGGGTTTACAGAGAATTGTTGGAAAAAGAAAAAACATCCAGTGAGCGGCAGTTCTGTGGGCGGAAATGCCTTGTTGATGCCAGAGGTCAGAGGAGAATGGCCAGACTGGTTCGAGCTGATAGAAGGGCAACAGTGACTCAAATAACCACCCGTTACAACCAAGGTGGGCAGAAGAGCATCTCTGAACGCACAGTACGTCGAACTTTGAGGCAGATGGGCTACAGCAGCAGAAGACCACACCGGGTGCCACTCCTTTCAGCTAAGAACAGGAAACTGAGGCTACAATTTGCACAAGCTCATCGAAATTGGACAATAGAAGATTGGTCTGATGAGTCTCGATTTCTGCTGCGGCCAGTGTTGTGCCTGAACGCGTTCATTGAACGAAAGTTCATGAACTCGTTCATATTTTGGGCGAACGTGAACTGAACGTACTGCATTATTGCCTGATGAACGTTATTGTGAACTCGTTCATTCTGGTGTCTGTGAACGGCACGCTCTCTCAGTTCAACTCCGTTCAATAGGTTGCCAGATTTCTATAAAGCCCTCCAGGCGAAACCCCGGCTAAATCACACCGTAAACAGGCCTTAATATTTAGCGGGAAAAACACCCAATCTGGCAACAGCAGCTACCAGCGTCGTAGCCTACAGCCACGTGCGTCATCAAAACAAAATGCAGCGTGGAAGCCACAGCAGCATGGAGGCGACTTAAAACAGGTTTATGACCAGGTGGTCGGTGAGGATGATGGCAACAAGTTTGCCCGCCGGCTTTCAGTAAAAAAATCCGCACTTCAGTAACCTTAAATTCCTACCTCAGCCTGGTCCCTCAGTTTGTGTTAGTAAAGTCTTCTTGAGCAGAGGTCTTCAACAGGGGATCCGCGACCCCTAGGGGGTCTACGGAGGTACTGCATGAGCGTCTGCATGGTTAGTTGATATTTTTATATTCCCCCCCTGCATTTTTTCCCCCCACTAATTGAAATGTCTTTAAATACTCATTAACATGAAATCAACACACTGTAGTAAACAGATAAATGGAGGCAGAAGATGTCTTTCAGTCATCAATGCACACATTCAGCGACACACAGGAGCTCTTTCAAGCTGGGCATCGTTTCCTTCACAACACCTGTCCCATCAACCAGGAATCAGAATCAGAAAAACTTTAATAATCCCAGGGAGAAATTAATTTCTTTACATTACTCCATCTGTAATAGAGTGACTATAGGACACAATTTCATACAATATATATAAATAGGGGGTCCCCGCTCCATCTCGCCATCAGTTTGGGGGTCCTTGGTCTGGAAAAGAAGACCCCTGTTCTTGAGGGTTTTACTATCCATGTAACTTGTTTGTTAAACCTGCCTGGTATAATTTTCCAGGATTCCTTTTTAGTATGTATTGAAATGGAATTTCAAATGGAAAAAATTATTAAAATAAAAAAAAAACATTTGCACCTTAAAGACTACTTTCCTATTTTTCTTTTAATAATTACTCATAAAAAAGACCATTCAAGCAGCACATTTTTCCTGATGTTTTTGAGAATATACTGTAGGGGTGAAAGCTGCAGCTGCTACTAGTGTGAAGTGAATGGACAGCAACAAAGCATTAAAGCAACAATGGGGAAATGCTGTCCCCTCAATGCTAATGTAAACCCTGGTTGGATAAGGATTCAAAACTGGATATGAAGATGAAATCTGACGCACAGTTTCAGTGTTACAACTGATAAAATAATTGCTGTCTGTGGTTCTACAGTAGGCTATGGTGTAATTGAGCAATATATGAAAAAAAAAAAAAAGAACTATGAACTAGTTCGTTTTTTGGAATTGTGAACGATGAACTGAACTAGTTCATTTTAAAATGTGTGAACTGAACTTTGAACTAGTTCACGTAGAAAGAGAACTTTCCCAACACTGGCTGCGGCATTCGGATGGTAGGGTCAGAATTTGGCGTCTACAACATGAAAGCATGGATCCATCCTGCCTTGTATCAACGGTTCAGGCTGGTGGTGGTGGTGTCATGGTGTGGGGAATATTTTCATGGCACTCTTTGGGCCCCTTGGTACCAATTGAGCATCGTTGCAACGCCACAGCCTACCTGAGTATTGTTGCTGACCATGTCCATCCCTTTATGACCACAATGTACCCAACTTCTGATGGCTACTTTCAGCAGGATAATGCGCCATGTCATAAAGCTGGAATCATCTCAGACTGGTTTCTTGAACATGACAATGAGTTCACTGTACTCAAATGGCCTCCACAGTCACCAGATCTCAATCCAATAGAGCATCTTTGGGATGTGGTGGAACGGGAGATTCGCATCATGGATGTGCAGCCGACAAATCTGCGGCAACTGTGTGATGCCATCATGTCAATATGGACCAAACTCCCTGAGGAATGCTTCCAGCACCTTGTTGAATCTATGCCACGAAGAATTGAGGCAGTTCTGAAGGCAAAAGGGGGTCCAACCCGTTACTAGCATGGGGTACCTAATAAAGTGGCCGGTGAGTGTAGCTTGTCTGTGGGTTGAGAGTAACCATTCCAGGTTTGTCTGGAATGGTTACTCTCAAACAGCAAAAGTAAAAGATTCAGGAAAATCAAAGAGATTTCTTTAAGAAATTATTTGTTTTTACTATTTTAAATGTTTACATCACAGTTTCCCTTTTTGAAATAGAAAAAGGTAGTATCTTCTCATAGCTTTTTAAAACACATAGAGCTGGCATTAGTCTTCTGCTCAAATATTTTCATGTTGTTTTTTTTCTTTAATGGAGGATAT